GAAAGGGACCACTCTCTACTGTGCAGGCGGCAAGGGATATGGCGACTAGCCTCACCGTCGGACATTGTTCAACCTCCGTGTTCACGTGCCTGCAGCCGCCGTACATCGTCACATCCAGCGTCCCATCCAACGTACTCGCCCGTCTGCTTCTTGACGCCACTGTTGCTCTTGCCAACTGCCTGAATGTACGCAGAGTCGTTGCCCGACGTCGACCACTCTCACAGCTCCTGGCTACATTCACGTGAATGAGGGAAACATCACCATCTACCGTGATATTGGGATCATCTTGGTCATCAGGGAGAAACTGTTCTGAGGCGGCGCAAGGTGCTGGGCTAACTCGTTAGCAATATCAACTGAGGCCTGATGCATGCGTTGCGCTTCGATCCGTAGTGAATCAACGTAGACCTGATCTCCCAAGTCCGCAACAAACCTGAGGCGCCCGGCCAACAAGTCATCGAGGGAATTGAGGGCACGCTGCAGCCATATATTCGGGTCACGCAAAAAAGAGCCGCCTGAGCCTGTTCCTGTGCACCTCCCTGTACTGATGGAAGGCGTACCATGCTCTCTCGCAGATGTCCTCTGCCATGGATTGGAGCTGTCTCTCGCTCTCGTACAGCTGGCATAATGTCGACGACTCCTGGATACATGCCTTCGCATATTCCACGCAAAAGAACATCCAATCAGCTTCTGATAACTGGCCACCCCACAGGACACAGTCAATCATCCATTCTGTGGCGAATGCAGATACATGATCTTGGAAACGATGTCGGTCAACGAGCACTGGCCACGGGTGTGCATAATGAGGCATCTCGTGCTCACCGTCGGGTCCCCAAGGAAGAGTAACCACAGGTATATTGCAAAGAGTGTTCATATTTTCGGAGTCGACGTTCAGCGTGACATCCCCACTGGTATTAGGAGGTGCCCCTGCACACTCACCGTCCCTAGGAACGAACTTGACAATTTCTGTCACGCCAAATCGCACTCGCTTGCACTGCTGCTTCGCGCTGCTGCCCAGACATCGTCCTCTTCGCCCTCCTGCCGCTGCCTGTCGTAGGTGGCTGCCGTTCGGTGAGGCCTTTCGAGTGCAATGCCTGTACAATCTCCACTTCTTCGGGCTCGAACGGCTGCGTCGCTTCCAACGCCTCCCTGTATGGCGTCTCCTCCTGCGCTGTCACATCGTCCACCCGGTGCTGCTGCTGAGCCATGCCCCACATCTGAGTTGGGCCTACCTCCTGCCACTCTTCGTCTACTGGAACCGCCGCCGCTGCTGCTGAGGCCGTCGCTACCCGAAACCCCGCTGCTGTCAGCCTGCGCTGCGTCTCGGGGTGGGATGCAGCAGCTGAAGGAAACCCCGCATGTTGCGATGGCTGGCTGCTCTGCGCCGCAGGTATCGTCGGGCTCACCGTGATCTGCGGCATGCAGGTATGCACCTCTGCCGCTCGAAGGTGGTTGGGCTGCGCCCAGTGGTGGCCATGCGGTGCCTGTGCTGTTGGGGGCCACACCTCGCACCATACCATTGGCATCGTCGTCCCCGAAGCACCAGTCGAGGCAGCTGCCTGGCGCACCGCGCCCGAAGCAGGGGAGGTTGTGGGCGAAGGCGCCGATGGCGGCATGGGCCACTGCGGTGCAGCTGCTGCCTGCTGTGCTGAGGCCTGCTGCGCCTGCAACATCTGCATGGCTAGAGACCCCATGTGTGCCTGCTGCGCTGCCGACGCCATGACCGTGTTCTCGAGGGCGGGGGGTGCCTGAGGCGCTATCTGAGTGTCATGCGCGTTGCTTGCACCCTCCCCATGATCCACAGCCGACCGCGCGGCAGATGAGCATGGAGACAGCTGCGAGGATTCCGCGGCACTTGCTCCTGCCACTGGCGGCGGGGGCGGGCGCGAAGCAGTGCGTTGTGGCCTGCTTCCCATCTCGACATCCTGCTCCTCCTCCAGCGCCGTCTTCTCGTCCTGCTGCTCCTGCTCGAGGTCTGCGACGATGGTGCGCAGGGCCTCTATCTCACTGATAGCCTTGGCCTCGCTGTCCTTCAGCTCTGCGATGCGGGATCGAATCTGCCTGAGCCGACCTTCTGCGTGTGTGCGCTTGGCCTTCGCCGCCGACACCTGCTGGTCGAGCGGCTTGAGCCTACCGATGCAATGCCTCACCACCGCCGCCCTCATGATGGCGCCCTGAGGGCATTGCCCCGCGCGCGTCGCCGCGTCGGCCAGGGCTGCGAGGGATGCAACCTTTGCGTTGGCCTCCTTCCTGTATGCCGACTGCGCCACGTGGTCCTCTGGCGGATGCGGCGGCTTGAAGTCTTGGTGCGCCTCGGCCTCCTCCGCGGTGATGACAGGCATCATCGCTAGTACTCTCTGGATATGCGCCTGGCTGATGGCCGTGAGGCCCTGACGCCCGCGAGATGGCGTTCTCCCTCGCTGCTGCCGAGGAGGCGGCTGTCGCTTGGTCCAAGGCGGCTGCTGGCTCTGCTGGCACTGGGGCTGCTGCTGCTGCCAGGCATTCTGATGCCAGGCACCTTTTGTAATGTCCATCTGCCAGTGGTCGGCCAGCTGCTGCGTCATGGGCAGATGACATTCCGTACCGCGTAAACAAAATTGGTGTCTCACTTGTACTCGCTTGCCGCAACTTTGACTTCCCCACCTGCGACCTCTTGACCACGTCATCCATGCGCCCGCTGGTTGCTGGGCACTATGATGCTCTCGCAGGAGGGCGGCTGCTGCGCCAAGGCGCGTGAGCGTCCTCGCCGCTGATCTTCGGCGGCGCTCACGGCGGTGCCACGCGGGCTCTGGCGGCCGCAATTGCATTGCCGTGATCGTGGGCAGCGCTGGGTGCCGCGCGTGAGGTCCCAGCTGAAACGGGAAGAAGCCCCCCTCCCCGCTCGTAGCCGAAACATTCCCCCTCCTCCTCCTCTTCCTCCTCCTCCTCCTCCTCCTCCTCTTCCTCCTGCTCCTCCTCCTCCTCCTCCCCCTCCTCCTCCTCCTCATCCATTGCGGGATATGTTTCGCGAGCGGGAAGCCGAGTCGAGCGAGTCGTCGGTGTCGTTCGGGGTGGTGCCTTGCTCCAGAGCGTGGGGATACCCGTTTTGTGGAGCCATCACCCAGCGATGTCACATGGATTGCTTCTTTGTGCCGTCGCGAAACAAGTGTTTGGACATCTCCAGCACCCTGGGAAGCAGCACGTTCAACAGTGAGGCCGCATCTGTCGGTAAGAAGCTCCCGCTCCCGAGCCCCCAGGGTCCTCGGATGCCGACAGGGTTGCGCGTGAGGCGGGATCTCCACCGCCAGAGAGCTCGCCTTCATGCTCGGAATGATGCGGGGCCGCGTTTTGAGCATCTGGGGGCAGCAGCATGTCAGTGTTACTGGTCTGGGCAGGGTCATCTACTTTCAGAAGGGGGCACCATCCCAATGATAATCTCCCAATATTCCAAACTCGATCCACTTGGCCTCAATGGACGAAGTGTCGCACAATTTTCGTCTCACGCATTTTGCTGAAGGGTTGAAGGGGGCGTAATGGGTAACAACATGAGGACTGGTTGGGGTATCGATCCAAGTACATTGCACCTGATGGTGATGAGGAGAAGTGGGACCTTGCATGACGAAGGTTGGCCCTTCTTGCCCAGTTGGAGAAGAGGTTCAGAGATACTTGTTTGTGTCTGCAAGGAGAAGCTTGTCAGCTGGGATTCCTGAAGGAGGTGACGTAAGCGATCATTGCATGCGCGTAGCATGCGACAACTTGATGTGTGGATTCCTCGTCCCCCTCTCTTCGTGCCTGGGTCAGATTCCAGCGGGCCTAGCGGTGTGTGTGTGTGTGTGTGGGTGTGTGTGTGTGTTCTCCCTAAGTCCCCTGCGTTTGTTGTGCAAGGCAAGAGGCTCACGGTGATATCGTCGACCCTTCGACGATGTTTGGTGAGTTGAGAACCCAGTAGTTCCCCTGTGAATGGCAATGCTCTCTCTCTGATTGTTTTTGGTGGGGGTCAGTTGTGCCCATTGTGCTTTTTGACAGCATCAGTCGACGCGGTGTCCTCCCAGGCAGGATCTTGCTGACTACGTGGCAGGGTGGCGCGTGGGACTCAGTGCATGCCAACATGCAGTCAACCCGCTTACGAAGGATGGGCAACCTTCCCAAGGATATTGCCTCCGTGTCCCTTCGGCCCATCCTTGGCCACTGTCTCTGGCCGTGCCCCGCTCGAAAGGCATCGAAGTGGCCCTCCCAGGCCCTTGGATCCTCACCGCGCATCCTTGCTATACGGGCTGACTGTACATGACACATGTGGTGGGCGCTCGTCTGTGCAGGTCGCAGTTCCACAGAATCCAGACTTCTCTCCCCTTGCCGACCACTGTCTGCGCTCGGCGGCGGAGAACAGGAGCTCTGTTCCCACGGGGCATGGCCGTTACCCCCAGAGGTGTCTCCTCCGAAGCTGGAGATCGCAGGCGGCGCGACGTCTTCCAGGAAAGCTGCGGGTTCCGCCGACCCGACCCCGACCCGACCCCCATGGGGGGAGCACGCGGCGTGTCGAGGTCGATTCGATAATCACGCGCGTCCCTACGTTCACTGGCATAGCAAGCGCCCCTACCTTGGTTTACGAGGTGGTGTGCGCTGAAACTCTTGTGGGCTGACAGGATAAACCCTGCGTGATGTACGGCGTCCTGGCGGCTCTCTAGGCTGTGGGGTTGCCCTGGAGGTTGACAGACCCCGCACTTGTAACCCAGGGTAAGGGTCGTTTTTTCGTCCATCAATATTTTGTCGCCGCGAACGTGATCGGCACTCCGATGTATCAGAGAAGCATTATCTTGCCCATTCTTCGGACGCGCGCCAAAGAGCTCATCTTCGGCTCCGCTCTCTTGCTGCCACGGCGAGCGATGAGAAGCTGTCATGTCGCAAAGGTGGCGAATCGTGGGCGGAGGGCGGAACACCGGCGTCCGCGTCCGCGGGCCTCGCGGGCGCGGTCCCCAGATGTTTTCGCTCGCGCACGGGCAACGGCCACAGGCGACGTCAACGCGATGCGCCAAAGGAAACACAATCCCTCTTTGCGCCTTCTCGGCGAGGACCCGTCACCCCCGTCGGGGAGCAAAAAGTTCTTATCCTGATAATTCGGCGCCCCCCGACTTGGTTATTAGTGAGTCTCCTCCTCCACCCTCCTCCCCTCAATCCTCGCCTCCCCTCGGCCACCCGCAGGGGGGGGGGGCAAGGGGAGGGGAGGCTTCTCAGAAGGAGGCTGCTTCTTCAATGGCTAGGACGTAAGCTTTCTGAGAAGCGGCCCACTTCTCCTCCCCCCACCTCCTCTGCGCGCCGCCAATCTCACCCCCCCCCCGCCTCCTACTCCTGGCCCCCTCCTCCCCGCCCCCTGCTCCGCCCTCCTCCCCCTTCTCCTCCCCCCACCCCCTGCCCCCTCGTGCGCGCCGCCCATCCACCCCCCCACCTCCCCCCCTGCAACCTCCCCGCGCCCTCCCGCCCCCCTGTGCGCGCCGCCAATCCCCCCTGCCCCGGGCGCCCCCCTTTCCCCCGCGCCCCTTCCTCCCCCCCCTCCTACGGCCATCGGGGGCGGGCTGTCGGCGGCGGGCCTCCTGGAGCTCCTGCTGCAGAGGCTGGGCGAGGGTGACCGCGCCGGCGCCGGAGGGAAGGCCGCCCTAGGCCCGGGCCCCGATCTCCGACGATATCCTGATAACGTTCCGGGGGTTGCTCCTCCTCCTCCTCCTCGATCTCCTCCTCCGCCTCCTCGACCTCCTCCTCCTCCTCGACCTCCTCGTTCTCCTGTTCCTCCTCCTCCTCCTCCTCCTCCTCCTCCTCCTCCTCCTCCTCCTCCTGTTCTTCCTCCTGCTGCTCCTCTCCTCCTCCTCCTCCTCTTCTTCTTCTCGGCACGAACGAAATCGGTACGGAAAGAATGGAGACAGTGCCCAACAGCAATTCCTGCTCATTTTGAGCAAGACTCGCTGTCCCAGCCGCCGCGGCCAGTGTCCATTTGAGACAGAAGGCCGCCTGCCCAACAGCGGCCGCTGTTGGTTTGGGACAACATTTGTTGTTGAGCATTGTACCCATTTTTGTCCGTACTCATTTCGGGCGTCCAAAGCTGTCTCCTTCAAGTCGGCGGCGAGCGAGAGTGGGGGGAAGTGATAAGGAGAAGGCCCTCTGAGAAGGCGGCGGAGCTCTTCAGAAGCCCGCCGGCCTTCTGAGGGGTCTTCGGAGTCTTTGTGGAGGGCCTAGAAACTTCTCAGAAGGCCCAGGGCGCTTCCGAGCCTCCTGAGAAAGCCTTCTCCTTCTCATTTCACCCTCCTGCGCTCGCCGCCGATCCAGGCCTCCCAGACGGGGTCGGAGCCGATGGGGTCGCAGGGTCGCGCCGCATCGCCGATGCATCGCCTATGCGGCTCGACGTGGAGCCTGCTTCGCTCCAGGCCCATGGCGCCAGTGCATCGCCGCTGCATTGCCGATGCGGCGCAGTCCTCCGACCCCACCTGCTCGGACCCCATCCAGGAGGTGGTCTCCGCTGGGCCCCCCCTCGGCGCCCGCCCGCCCGCCCCGCCGGCTCTGGCCTCCGGGCCTGCGCGTTCGTCGTCTGTCTGCTGCTCCCCTCCTCTGCCCCCCTTCGCCTGGCAGCAGGGCCTGCCCCGGGAGCAGCGTGGAGCTCCTCGGTAATCTGCAGTGTTGCCTTGTCCGAGGCGGCAGGGGCGCGAGTCTGGCCGGGGGGGGAAGTCCTAGCCGAGGGTGCCCCTGGCCCAAGGTGAGAAGTGCACAACGGCGGCGGTTACAGACCCGGACATCCGACGACTCGAGAACATCGAGACAACGTTTTGTCATAATTTTTGGCCCCTCGGGGCCCTTGCTGGGCCTCGGGGCCGTCAGATAACGACTCTGGATGAAAAATTGGTTCCGGGAAAGTGGTCCGGAGGTCGGGGTTCGTGTCGGGGATTGCTAAAGGTGCACCTGGCCAAAGGTGCCCCAGTTTGTCGCTTCATGTTGTAGCCCCTGGGGCTCCCTGGGCCTCGTGAGGGGTGCTCTAGACCCTTGGGGGCCTCTTGGAAATCCTGAGAGCACCTTGGGCCAGGGGCACTTCTAGCAACACCTGAACGTTTCTCCATCCGGGGGCGAAAACGGACGTTACCGGAGGGGGGAGGGGGGGCGGCTAACGTCACGTTTCGCCGTTTCGCGTCGGTGCAAACAATTCGGAGGTCAGCACGACTCATGACGTTATCTCGGTAGGGAGCGCCTGGGGCCGGCCACGGCCGCTGTCGCGAAACATGAGAGTTGCTATGTCCAGTTGCCTGCGGCAAACCCCGCCACCGCGCCTGTGCAACAGCGAAACAGGAAGGAGGCTGAGTGCAGGAGCAGCGCCACAATTTCGATGAGTAGTCTGCTTTGGGGGATCCCGACCTCGTCTTCGTCCGCGCGTTAGGGGGGAGGAGGAGGAGGAGGAGGAGGAGGAGGAGGAGGAGGAGGAGGAGGGGGAGGAGGAGGAGGAGGAGGAGGGAGGAGGAGGGGAGGAGAGGAGGAGGAGGAGGAGGAGAGGGAGAACATGAGGATGAGGAGGAGAGCTTCTTGAGGCCTTCTTGGGGCTTCCTGGGGGCCTCCTAGGAGGCCTCTTGGGGGCCTCATGGGGCCTCTTGGGTGCCTATTTGGGCGTCTCGGGCCGTCTGAAGGCACTCTTGGCCCGTCTGACGCCTACGGAGGCCGCCTTGGAGGCCTCTCTAGGCAGCGTTGGTGCCCTCGTGGGGTGGTTCACGGCCGTCTTCGGGGAGCCCTTTGGGCGATCTGCGGGTCCTCTTGGGACTATTCTGGGCCCTCTTCGGGGCCTTTTGGGCTGTTTTGGAGCTATCTTGGAGACCTCTTGGAAGCTTTTTGGGCCGTCTTGGGCGGTTGGGAATCCGAACAGGTGCGACTCTCAATATCTACCAAACACGAGCGGCAAATCACTGTTTTTGGCTCCCTCGGGCTCTCCAGGAAGGCCTCTTGGAGCTCTGTCTGGCCGTCGTAAAAGGCCTCTTGGGCCGTCTTGAGGCCCTCTTGGGCTATCTTGAGCCCTATCGAGGCTCCCTTGAGAGGCTCTTAAGCTGTCTTGGCCCATCTCGAGCCGTTTTGTTGTCGTCTTGGTTGTCTTGAAAGCCGTCGTGGGGGCCATCTTGGCCGTCTTGAGGCCGAAAAGAGCGCCGGGGAGCAACTTCAGGGGAACCCCGCGTGCGAACCCGGGGGTGGTCGGCCCTAGAAAACAGTTAAAACGATTCCCAGAGGGACTACAGGGGCAGTCTAACCTTCGCGCAGGCATGGTGGCAAATTTGTTGTCAACCATCCTGTGGTGTTAGGTCCTCGTTGTAAATCAGCAGCGCGCCTCGTTCCTTCCTTCCTTCTTTCCTTCCTTCCTTCCATTATCCTGCCCTTCCTCCCTCCTCCCATCTCCCAGCCTTCCTTCTGTCCTCCGCATGTTCATGGGACGTCTACCCGCGTGTCAGGACTCGAATGCGTGACTGCGCCAATTGGGGCATACCCCTCACACGGTTCGTGGCCCCATGGGGATCTCCGTTAACACTGTTTGTTCAATCCGGTGTTTTTCCTTCGATTTCGGCCCTTGCCCGGGGACGGTTTTCGGGCCCCGGGGACCATCAACTCACCCCAGCACCAGCAAAGCACCCTGACAGCAGCAAGGATGAAGACGCGGGTCGAGAAGTAGGAGGTCGGCTAGTGAAAACGTGCATTCCGAGGCATTTAGGGTGTTCACGTTTGCCCTTTTTCCTCAGAAGCGTACGCGGGAGAGTAGCTCTGGCAGCACGAAGAACCAGAAGTACGGCCAGGCGTTTGCCCAGGAACGTGCGGATTCGCTATCGGGGGCCTATCGCCGATCGATCGGCGATGTATCGCCGATTCCAGGTCGATCTTTCCTACCCTATGCCAGTCTCTTCATCGTCGCCCATCACTCCCATTGGGGACTCCTCAGTAGTTATTTTTCCAACTGAGGAGAAAGCTCCAGTGAAACGTTCTTAGGGAAAGATGCAGCCAGGACACGGGTGTGAGAGTACGGCCATGTGGGCATAGTTTGTTTACATGGGATCGTGGTTGTCCCGATGAGCAATGTAAATGGAGGCGAGAGCAGATTTATTGCCTACATTGTGAGGAGGTCTCAGGCGAAGCGGCTGCCACAACGATGACGACCATGGTGAGAGCACGGCATGGTCGTGCTTGCCCAAAACTGAAACGGAGCCGGCAGTTTGGCGAGAGCAGCATTCCTGAAAGCATTGTGAGGAAGTCTCAGGCGGAACGGTACGTGGATTAGAGTTTGTCAAAGGGTTGGCATCGCCCATGGATCTGCTAATTTCCGCGGGTTTCTTGGCCACTTCGGGCCGTCTCCGAGTCGAAGCCAGAAAGCCTACGCACTGCCCAGAAGGTGACCTCACATGGGCCTAGTCGGGGTGGGGTGAGAGGAGGAGGAGGAGGAGGAGGAGGAGGAGGAGGAGGAGGAGGAGAATGATGATGATGAGGAGGAGGAGGAGGAGTAGGAGGACCAAGCAGGGAGGAGGATCGAGGTCTTTGGGTGTGTCTGGACGTCAACGAGCAATGCAGGGCTTTCTAGATTTCTTGAGGTTCTGTTTAACATGTTACTTGTTCGACCATTGGCCCGTAATGCCCATCGGCCTTGGGCGGTCTTTGGCAGTCTTCTGACGCTCTTCGGCGGTCTCGGACGGACTTCTCAAGGTTCTCGGCGGTCCGTTGGCAGCTTTCTACTGGTCTTCGGTTGTCTTCGGTGTTTTTTGGCCTTTTCCGGCGGTCTTCGGTGGCTTCCAGCGGTCTTCGGCGCCAGAGTTGGGTGGTTGTGTTCAACACGGGATCCGTGATTGAACACCTCAAGCATGAAGGGAAGGGCTCCTGGAGGATTTTCCCGTGGTCCTGCCCCCCCTCGCAGCGAAGCCTCACTGAGCTTGCCAGAAAGACGCAAGCATCTCGGAGAAAGCCCCGGGGTCCAGGCGGCCCAGGACCCGCTTTTCCTTCATGCCAAGCTTTCTTGTGTACAGACAATCCGCATACTAAGGATGGGCACCCCGCTTGCAACCATAATGTTTGAGGTGCCCCTCAGGCCCGGTCTGGAGAGCGATCTCGCCGGCCAGCCCCGGCGACGTCTCCCCGGCGCTTCGCCTGCCCGTCCAGAGCAGCTTGCGCTGCGGGTCTGTCGCGTGCGCCCTCGCCGCTGCGGCTGCCGGGCTGGGGGCATCCGGGGGGCACCAACTGCGGGCCCACCCCCAGCCTTTCTCTCGCCTCCCCCTGCCTACGCAGCGCTTTTCTCCCCTCGCCATTCCTCCTCTGCGCCCTCCTCCCCCTGCCCCTGCCCCTTTCCCGCGTCTCCCCCCTTTCCATCTCCTCTCCCTTTAATTCCTCCTCCATCCTCCTCCTCATCCTTCTCCTCCTCCTCCTCCTCCTCCTCCTCCTCCTCCTCCTCTCCATCCTCCATCCTCCTCCTCCTCCTCCTCCTCCTCCCTCCTCCCTCCTCCTCCTCCTCTCCTCCTCCTCCTCCTCTCCTCCTCCATCCTCTCCTCCATCCTCCTCCTCCTCCTCCTCCTCCTCCTCCCTCCCTCTCCTCCTCCCCCCTCCCCTCCATCCTCCATCCTCCATCCTCCATCCTCATCCTCCATCCTCCATCCTCTCTCCTCCTCCTCCTCTCCTCCTCTCCCCTCCTCCTCCTCCTCCTCCTCCTCCTCCATCCTCCTCCTCCTCCTCCTCCTCCTCCCCTCCTCCTCCTCCTCCTCCTCCATCCTCCTCCATCCTCCTCCCTCCTCCTCCTCCTCCTCCTCCTCCTCCTCCTCCTCCTCCTCCTCCTCCTCCTCCCTACGCCGAACCTGTCCGGGCACGGGATGGGCCTGGCGGCGTCCGGGGAAGGGGGAGCAGGAGGAGGAGTCACAATGGGGACTCATGCCAAGAACCACCCTGCTTGCCTCCAGGGTGCCCTGGGTTTCTTGGGTTTCCATGTTTTTGCCATGGAAAGCGCGGCGCTTCCACACCAAAAATCCATCGACGTCCTGAGGTCTCAGGGTGGGTTTCTTGTGGAAGGTTTCTTGTGGACTGGCCTCCACTGCAGTGGAAGAGCAGAGCACGACGGTGGAGGGCGCACGGCCGGCACCAGGCTTAAGTCGGGCGTGTCCCTCTACAGGAGGAACACCCCATCAAAAATACTCAGGGCACGATTTTTCGATTATCGTTTGACTATGTTTCAGCATGTCCTGAACATTTTGTTTTTGTTTCCGTCCTTAATCCGCCTCTAGGGGGACATGCCCGACCTACCACCAGGCGTGGCTTTTCGGCAACTTCCAGATGCGCAGCAAGATTCAGGCCCTAGTGCCCCGCTGCGGCCTGCAAGGCGAGCGTCCCGGGTCCTCCCTCCCTCACTCCCTCCTCGCCGTGCCGGACGGCCTCACGGCTTCCTTTGCTTCGCCCTCGTCTCGGTGCGACCGACATGGGTACGGAAAGAACGGGTACGGGGATGGACAGCAGTCCTTGCCCATTTGGGACCAGGTTCGTTGGCCGTGCCGCCGAGTTCTTGGACCGTCTTCGGCCGTCTTCGGGCCCTCTTGGGGGGGCGTTGCCTATTTCAGACAGTAGTCCGCCTGCGCAATAACGGCCGCTGTCGGTTTTGGACAACATTTGTTGTTGGGCATCGTGCCCAGTTTTTTTCCGTACCCATTTCGGGCGTCAAGATCGTCAAGCTCGTTTTTCTAAGCGTCCTACGTCTCGCTCTGCCTCATCGTTCATCCATGCCGTGTCTTGCTTTGGCTGCCCTGAAGTGCATATCATGTCAGGTTACGTAGCACAATTGTGTGCGTCAGCGCGTGTATGCGCACCTACACACACCTATATGATCATGCGCTAATTTTCGTGCGCGCGCACGTGCAATAGTACCTGCAGATCGGTATGTGCACGCAGCATGCACATTCGTGTACATTTCAATGTGCGTATGCGTATGCGTATACACATGCACAAGTGCATTGAAGACGCTGGAATTCAGGATCACATTGGTTCAGGGGGGGGGGCTCTGGCTGCACAGTTTGCGTCGCACCAGATATGGGTCACAGTTTGCGTCGCACCAGTTTGAGTGACAGCTTGCGTCGCATCAGATATGAACAGGCTGTGCGAAAAGGTGGGCTCTTCCACTTTGCCTCCTGCATATGTCTTTCCACCACCCCAAACTAGCGACTGTCATCAGAATGTTCACTTCAACCAACCTCCATCTATCAACATCCATCCTCCACCAGTTCAGGATTCCGACCTCCAGCCTCCAGCATCCGACTTTCCACTTCTATCTCCACCTGTCGACCTCCAGCCTCCACCAGTTCAGCATCCCGACCTCCTCTCGCACCCGTCTGTCCGCTTCCACCTACACCTATCGATTTACAGCCCCCACCAGCGCACCTCTCCGATTCCCGGCTTTCAGCATTATATTTTCCATTTTCATTTCCGCGTGCGCCTATCGATTTCTAGCCTCCAGCAGTCCAGCACGCCGACCTCCAGCATCCAGTATTCGATTTTCCACCCACACCTCCGACTATGGACCTCCAGCGTCCGCCGGTTCACCGTTCTGGAGCCCAGGCTCTAGCGTCCGATGTTCCATTTCCACCTCCAGCTGTTGACCTACAGCCCCCATCAGCGCACCTCTCCAACATCCAGTTTCCAGCACCCCACCTTCCACCTCCAACTCCATGTCCACCTAGCGACCTCCAGTCTCAACCATCTCAACACTCCGATCTCCAGCATCCAGCATTCGGCCTTCCACCTCCACCTCCAACCACCGACTTCCAGCCTCCTCCAACTCAGTCTTCCGACCTCCAGCATGCAGCATCCGACTACGCAACTCCACCTCCACCCATCGACCTCCAGCCTCTACGACCTCAACACTCCGACCTCCAGCCTCTGGCATCGAACTTGCCACTTCCACCGCCACCTATTGACCTCCGGCCGCCGCAATCTTCGCACTCCGACACGCAGCCTAGAACACCCGATGTCTGATTGTCATTTCCACCTAACTTTCGCGGGAGAGGAGATCCTCAAGGCAGCATCGTCGGATTCTTGGCAAGATTTCGGGTCACAATTTACGTCGCACCACAAATGAGCCCGCTGCGTGAATTACTCATATGTCACACTTGCCCACAACAGAGCTTTGGAACGAGAATGAGCTGAATTTCTGATCGGGCTTCATTTTCTCCTATAGTGCACTGGCGCTCCGGCGCCGCACCCTTTGCACCCCAGACGGTGACAATGTGCGGGCGTGCTTCGTGCGTGCTTCGTGGGGGGATTCTGGCTGACTTGAGGGCAGATCTACTCAGGTCGGGGAAAATCCGTGGCCGATGCTCGCCGTGGCTCGTCGTGGTCATACATCTCTTTTCGTTCCTTGATCAGCGTTTTTTTATGGTAGTGCGATTGCTACGCCCTGCTTTGAAAGCACGTATTCCCTGTCGCACCCACATAGACATTCATACATGCACAACGCACTTGTTCGTTTATGCACAGCGTTGCATACGCACCAGTCTACACAAGGAATGTTCCGCTCTGCGGGCGATAAGGAGGTTTGGGGGGATTGAGATCAAATGCCCACCCTGACTGACCTCCAGCCTGTCACCTTGATCCCATCTCTCTCTTTCCCTCTGGATTGGATAAGATAAGCTGGATTGGAAAATAAAGCTCGCCGCAGGTGCCGACAAAAATGAATTGATGAATTGGGTTGGGTGGATTGGATTGGATGGGATAAGATGGATTGCATTGGCCCGCCGCAGGCACAGAAACAAATTAATGTATGGATTGGGTTGGGTGGATTGGATTGGGTGGGCTAGGATAAGATAGGACAAGATGGGTTGGATAAGACAAGATGTATTGGATTGGACAAGATGGGTTGGATAAGGTAGTTAGCTGGATTGGATAAGAAAGCCCGCCGCAGGCGCCGAAAAATACCAATTATGAACTTTGCGACATGCGTTAGCGCCGGGACGCCCCGGACGCCCGGGAGACCCGGGACACCGCCCGCCCCAATTGGGACACTTCCTGGCCACCGGCGGACGGGAACGGATTTTCGCTCCTACTTCGGCCTAGCTACAGGAGGATCACGCATGGCTTCGCCTCGCCCGCACGCACGACACGAACACGAACACGAAACCGATTTCCCGGTGGGGGGTCTCCGTGTCACTGCGATCTCACCCCCCATCATTCATATTCTTATATTTTGATTTCCCGGACCCCCCCCCCCAGAAACCGGACCCCCCCCCGGGGACGCCCTGGACGCCCTTTCGGACGTCCCAGCGGCCCCTTAGACGCCCATGGAAAAAACTGGCACCTGTGCCGCTGGGTGCCCTCGTGGCGTCCCAGGAAAACAAGCGGGTTGGCAGCCCGATCGTCACCACAGCTCGACGGGGCTGTGGGAGAGACTCTTGCCCTGTGGCTGGCCAGCCACAGGAGGTGCGGGCCCGCCGTACCACCCTTGAGAGGCCCGATGGGGTTACTAGGGGTCCCCCGACGTGGGGGGCGCGGGAACTGAAGTCCTTGGGCAGCGGGGCCTCCGCTGCTTGAGGCCGGCGGCCAAGTGGGGGTGGTGCCGGTGGCCATGTCTCGGGGTGGCATCCCGAGGCGCCTCGCAACGGCGGCGCACATGTGACGCCTGGGGCGGGTCTGTGCCGCCGTTCATGTTCGAGGTCCGACTGCATGTGAATTCGTGCAGGCGCCTTGGGCACCTCCCTTCGGGTTGTGTCGCCCGGGTGTTCTGTCCGGGCACAAGAGACGCCCATGGAAAAGGTCCGCTGGTCCTTCGGGGTCTCCCAGGGCTCCTTGCCGGGCCTTGCGAGCAGACTCAAGGCGATCAGAGGGGTCATCGGAGAGGCGCAAGAGAGACCCAAGACAGCACAAGAACGCTCCAAGGGGAACCTCGATGGTCTGAAGACGGCCCCAGAGGCCCCCAAGACGCCCCAGGAGGCTGACAAGAGAGCCCCGAAGAAGCAACAATCGCCCCGGCCCTCGGGAAGCTGTATAAGTTTAACATATCCGCTGTTTGGGACTTCGCAGCGTCCAAGACGGCCCGATGGGCCCCCGATATCGCCCCCAGACGGCCCAAGAGACCCCCCAGAGGGTCTGAAGACGGCCCAAGAAGGCCCCAAGACTGCCCGAGAGAGCCCCGAGACTGCCCGCAAGAAGCTCAAGATGCCCCCAGAGGGCTCCCAAGAGAGACCCACGAACGCCATTGGAGACCCACAAGAAGGCCATTGGAGGCCCCCCAAAGGGCCCTAGATGGCTTCAGAAGACCTCTGGAGGGCCCCGGCTCCCCAAGACGGCCCAAGAAGGCTCCAGGACGGCCCAAGAGGGCTCCAGGACGGCCCAAAAGAGCCCCCCAAACGCCCAGACGATGTGTTCCTACGAAGTATATCGAGCTGACCCGACGATTTTGGTTCCACGTTGGAGGTTCGAGGCTTAAGATCTTTGATCGAGAGAGACAGGCAATGGATCGAGATTAAGTTCGACGATCGAAGATTTCCTGAGTGCCTGGAGCCCTCCAGCCATCCAGGAAACGACCAAATGTCGATTTGTTCGAAGCTACTGCGACTTCGTCGGCGTGTCATGGGAACGCTCCTTACTTCCTCAAAGGACCTTTGCGCGCGAACAAATCAGCATTCCTTCCCCACTCCTGCGCGCACGCGTGCAAGCGCATCGGGCGAACGCGGTGTCAGCAGGCACCGGGGATATCAGACAAATGAACCGGTCGCCCGTCCAGGCTTCGAGGTCCCCCCCGCTGAAACAAGCGACGGATGCATGCATGTATGTATGTATGTATGTATGTATGTATGTATGTATGTATGTATGTACGCACACAGCACAGCTCTATGTGTATATATAACGAACAAGACAGAGAAGGAGGCAGCAAGTGAGCGAGCGAGCAAGACAGGGAGGGAGGGAGGGAAAGAGAGAGAGAGAGAGAAAGGGAGGAACAACGATAACGAGAGCAACTGAAACAGATTAGCAAACACGGAGAGAAATGGGACATACAGGTAGTTGGTGGCACCTGCGTGCCCATGTCCGCACTTAAAACAATAGGGGGCCATCGATGGGTTTGCAACAGCTTGCGACTATCTGAAATGTTGCCAGCGTCGGCATGAAACAATATACGTTGTAGTATAGATAGCTACATTGGGAACAAGGAAAACACGGCGCTTGCGAAACATATTCAATCCGGTGTGTTTGGGATCGGCCTCCTACACAAGGATGACGACGTGCACGGACAACCATGGAAACAACAATGGTCCCCGAACGCGCATAATCAAAATCATTGGCACCCACCGGTTGCGTGAAGGTTTTAAGTGAGAAAGCTGAAAATGGCAAGCGACTTGGCCAGAAAAAGTGCAGACGGGACGGGACGGCGCCACCAAGAACCACATTCGAGTTTCAATCCATCGGAGAGGTTCATTTGTTAGTAATTACATCGATGAAGATATGCGTGCACACGTAAAGAGAAAAACATAGTGCGAAGGCCTTACGGACGGCGCTGCCGACCCTGAAGGGGGACGACGACAACGGCGGCGGCGGAGAAGACGACGACGACGCTGACGTGGGTCAGAGTCCTCATGGATGCTCCCTGGGGTCTCTTCGAAGCGCTCTCGGGGCCCCTGGGGGACAGTTTGGGGCCTCTTGGGAGCCCTGTGGGGGCTCCTTGGGGGCCTCTTGGGGGCCTCTCGGGGGCCTCTTGGGGGCCTTTTGGGCGCCTCTTGTGGCCTCTCGAAGGCCTCTTGGCTCCTCCTGCTGTGAGCCTCGCGGGGCCGAGGCCTCGAAATGTCCGTTCTACAGTCAAGACGCTGAAATAAGGAACAGTTTGGGTTCGGAGGGGGTTCGATGTTCCTTAGGTTCCTCCAGTGCTGTACCTCTTGCCCTCATGGTGCACGGAGGCGCTTACAGGGCCAAGAAGGGGCTTCGTTCCTTATTGAGCGTTCCTTCTTGCAGCAGCCCGACTGTAGTCCCTCGACTGGGCACCCTCTTGGAGCCGTCTTGGGGACCTCCTGGGCCGTCTTGGGGCTACTGGGGCGATCTGGCGGCCCTCTTGGGCCGTCTTGGAGCGTCGGGAAGCGGAAGGGACGAGAACGCCGAAATGCTTCGAAAGCCATTGGGAAATCAGTGAGTTTTCCTTGGGGCCTTCTTGGAAATGCTCCTGGAGGCTTCCTGGGGCGTTTTGCAGGGCTCTTGGGCCGCCTGGAGGCCGTCAAGGCGTCTTGCACAGATTGTTCGGCGATTCAGGGCCCTCTTGGACCGTCTTGCGGGCCTCTTGAGGCACTCTTGGCCCGTCTTGGGGTTTTTTGGGGCCCCGGACCCCCCCCCTCCCTGGCGGGGGAGGGATCAAAGGGATTTCGAGCAAATTACGACGTCGTTCAATTTCACCTTGGCTGGCGCGCTTGACGAGGAGGGCCTACAGAAGAGGGGGGGGGAGCGTCGACGGGCCCAGCGCTTGAGGAGGAGGGCCCAGGGAAAGGCGGGGGGAGCGGCGACGGGCCCAGGGAAAGGGTGAGCGCAGGGAACAGGGACGACAGAGACGACTACTAACAAATGACGGAGACAACGACTCGAAGGGATATGTCCCTTACACACGCCGACAGGGTCGGCGGATTCGGATGTGCGTGCAGAGAGAGAGAGAGGGTGAGAGAGCGAGAGAGATGCGATGTGTGTATATGTATATATATATATATGTGCATTTATGTATGCATAACAATGTATAGATGCATGTGTGTGGGGTTTGTTTGCATATACATATCCGCAGAGAGGAAGATAGACGGGGGAGTGAGCCGATATTGACCTTGTGTGGTATGTAATGAACATATGTCTGTTCACGAAGAGAGTCGGAGAGAGAAGTAGAGATATGATATGCATCTATATACATAGAAGTATTGGGCGGGAACATATAGTTTATCCAGAGAGGCACATATTGCAAAGAGACAGAGATAGAGAGAGAGGGATGTTGAGGACGAAACAGAGAACGAGACAGAGAGTGAGAGAGAGACAGGCGATATACATGTTCAGAGACATATAGATGTGATGCCTACAGATACCAGTATGTACACGCGTACAGGGAGAGTAGAAGAGATAAAGAGACAGAGAACGGATTTGCGAGAGAGAGAGAGAGAGTTGACAAGACACATACACACTTTCACCGACATGCGTACGCAAGATGTTTGAATATTTCAGTCGGCGTGATCCCAAAAGAGCAATGTCTTACAATATATGTATTGCACTCTGGGCGGTGCAACTAGTGTGGTGCAATGCATGTGGTGCAATCTATGCCGTGCAAAGCAATGCAATGCAAAACCAACCAACAATGTGTAAAGCAATGCAATAGCAATGCAGCGGCTATGCCATCGCAATGCGATGCGCGATGGCAATGCAAAACAATGCACACCAATGCGAATCAACACAAAACCACGTGAAAACAATACGAAGCAATGCAGAGCAATACAAAGCAATGCGATACCAATGCAATGCAACGCAATGCAGTAGCAATGCGCTAGCAACGCGATAACAATGCGCTAGCAATACCATGAAATGACAAGCAATGAACAGCCAGGCAAGGCAATGCAAAGCAACACAAAGCAGTGCAACGCAATGCAACGCAATGCAATGCAATGCGTAATGCAATTCACTGCGAAGCACTGCGCCGCAATGCAAAGCGATACGAAGCAATGCAAAGCAATGCAAACCAGCGCAGCGCAATGCGAGGGCAACGTAAAGCATCAGACAGCAATGGAAAGCAAGGCAATGCGATGCAATGCGAGTGCGATGCAAAGCAGTGCAATGGAATCCAGCGGCGACGGCAGTGGCGACTTGCGGCGACTGGCGGCTACATGCCGCCGCACAGCCACACATCCTCGGTGATCAGCGGCGACTGCGGCGGCGACGGGCGGCGACATGCCCTCCGGACCGCCACATAGGTCCAGTTCTTTATGAGAGAAGTGAGGGCCTTTCAGTGCAAGCACGGGTGGGGAATACGTCAATGGGACATGTGTGCATGCAGAGAAAGGGAGTGAGAGAGCGAGAGAGATCGGATGTACAGAACAAGAGTGCGAGAGAGAGGGATATGGGATGCATATACGTACACAGTCGGACATCTGCATACAGGGTATGAGCATATGCACATGCAATGCAGACAGAGGGAGAGAACGAGAGAGAATTTGATCTATGTATATACATGCGTGATTATATTCAGGGAGAGAGGGCGGGAGGCAGAACGTCAGAGAGAGAGAGAGAGTGCGTGAGAAAGAGAAAGAGAGAGAGAGAGAGAGAGAGAGAGAAACAACAAAACAATTATGGATGGAACCTCTTGCATTCGTATATATGTAAAGAGGGAGAGAGAGAGAGAGAGAGAGAGACAGATAATGAGAGAAATGGGGGGGGAGAGGGGGCGGGAGAGAGAGAGAGAGAGAGAGAGGGAGACAGAGAGAGAGAGAGATCAATGCACAGAGAGGGAGAGAGACAAGAGAGAGAGAGAGAGAGAGAAAGACTGAAAGCACGGGGGGGGTCCAAACACAGCGGCCCCAGAGGTTCCAAGATGAGCCTAAGACGGCCTTCTGGCCTTAGGGGCCTCGAAGGAGCAAAAGTATCCTAAGAGGGTCCGAGATTGTCCCAGACGGCCCCAAAAGAGCCGAAGAGGGCATCCAGAGGCAATATGGCCCCAAACCATTGGCGCCCCAAGGTTTTCCAAGAATGTTTCAAGACGGCCCCACGAGAGCACAACAAAGCCCACTGGGGGGCCAAGAGCACTCAAGATGGCCCGAATAATGGCAAGAGGACCCCAGGAGAAGCCCAACATGGGCCCGCAGGGTCCACGGGCAGCCCTGACACGGCCCGCGAGGGCGCCACCATGGATTACTACGGTGGAGGCGTTTGTTAAGGAATAGTCCCAGGAGGCGCCAGACCCTGGAGGATTCCTTATCCAATGAGGGCAGCGGTGATATCCATGGCCGATCCACGATTGGAGTTTCACTGGCTTCTCCAGACCCTGGATTCCTTATCTAACGGTTCCTTATCCAATGCCCACACCGTGTGCAGAAGCTGGAGAAGGCGGTCTTGCACTTCGAGCGCCTCGAGGAAGGCCTCGAAAGTCAGCGTCGTTGGGTCCAATCTCTCTGCGAGGACATGGAGTCGAAGAAGGCGGAGCATCGCAAGCTGGTGGTGGAGCTCAATCGCCAGGTGGTCGACATCAGCCAGGATTCAGCTCCTGCAGTTGCCCCCATCAGCGTGGCTGGCATCTTGGACGGCTCCATCGAGGAGATCCCTCTCTCGTTTGCTGGCCTGGGGTTCGACGACGCTGAATATGAGATGGATGCAAATGACAGGAAAGAGCTGGCAGAACGTAGCGCCCGTCTCAAGAGCGAGCTGTCCAACGCGGTCAAGCAAATGTTAGGGCAGGCGGCGGAGAAGGCCAAGCTCTTCAAGGAGGAGCAGGGGGCCATGGCGCTACGGCTGGCTGGCAAGAGGCGGCGACAGGGCTCAGGCCCTGAGGACCCTGGCCCAGCAGGGGCGGCCGCCGCCGAAGCAGCTACGAGAGGCAAGGACGGCGAGGCTGAGGACGCAGACGCGACGTCGACGTCGCCTCCCACTGCAGCAACGCAGTCGCCCAAGGGGGAGGAGCCAACCAGCCAGAATTTCGAGCAGAGGACGGCCAGGATCTGTCGCCCGCCGCCCCCTCAGGCGGCCTCTGCCTGAGGGGGCAGACCCCAGGGACGAGGTGGCTGAGTGCGATCGGCGAACGCCCTCGGCCGAGACAGCTGGATCGCTGCGGCCAGCTGACCGCTTCTGGAGCAACAAGACCGTGGACCTCGACTGGCCTCAGGTCGGGGGGTTCCTGGTTCCTGCCCTCGATCGTCCAGACGAGGGCACATCGTTGATAGGCAAGCAGTACTGCAAGCAGCTGCATGCCGAGCCAGAGGGAGTTATGCTTGTGGCCATGGGGCGGAGGCCTGTGGTGATGGGGCCTTCACCTGATGTCGCAGATCCTGCCCGACAGCAGGCCATCCAGGACTTCGCTGACATGAGGGCGGACCTCAGGGACTGGGCAGCCGCCTGGTTCGACTCGCACACTGAGCTGGAGACCGACAGCGGGCACTGGAGGCGCTGGTGCAAGGCTTCCCTAGGCGCCAAGCTTGCTGACGGCGGGAACGAGCCGCTCAGGCGCCTGCTGAGGAGCTGGTTTCCTGACAGGGACTGGGACAGCATCCTGGACGGGCTCTGCCTCGGCGGCAGGAGGCAGGCTGAGCCCCGCAGCATCGCCTTCTTGGTCAGGCTCAACAGAGGCCAGCCTCTTGATCGGTGGCAACTTGAGCACAGGCACTGGAGGCACTTGGAGCGGATCAGGGCCATGTTTTGACGTTTCATCGGGGACAGAGCCCCTGGAGACCCAGTGCCGCCTCAGCGACATGGTAGGGGGGTGGAACCTGACCCTCCTCTTCGGCCAGTCCCCGATGACGACCAGGCAATGGGCTACGTCGACAACCTGACGGCGAAGCTGGTCATGCTGTCGCGCGCGCCCCCGCTGCAGCTGACTGGAGGCGGAGTCTCGCCCAGCCAAGCCAACCTGAGCGTAGAGCAAGGCGGCCTTGGGTCATCCTGGTCAGCAACGGGAGTCTCCTCAGCTCCGGGTACAGAAGCGTCTGAACGCATCCCAGAAGGCGTTGGACCGCATGGCGTTAGGTCGCACGGCGTGGCGGCGCGGGGGGGTAGGAGCCTTTTGGACACCGCCCTTGGCTTCATAGGGGGTCGTGGTGGGCGACCACCCCGCGCCGCCAGTCGGCCCCAGTCGCCACCTGCTGGACGCACACAGTGGCGCAGCGCAAGTCCTGGCCCCGAGTGTCCTCGAGCTCGGGCCAGGCTCAGTCGCCATTTGCTGGATCAGGACCCTCGCCTTCGGAGAGGGTCGGAGGTGCCAGTGCCAGTCAAAACGGGCAGACAAGAAGCCAACTCAACACCAAAGTCACGGTGGACACCCTGGGCCTGCTGACGATCCCCGAGCCTCAGAGCACCAAGGGCGATGTCTTGTCACAGCTGAAGGGGACGCCTACGCTCTGCTTGGCCAAGCTGGTGGCGCCGCCTGTGGCTAGCCCAGCGTCCTTCATCTCGCTGAATGGCACGACCTGGAAGGAGGCGCAGACGGAGCTAGAGCGCCTCGCGGACGCTGGTTCGAAGGACGACGTCTACCTGATCCAGGAGACTCGCTTCACGGGGAAGGAGAAGGAGAGCGAGGCCACCGGCTGGGGCACTCGCAACGGCCTCAATGCGTCCTTCAGCCCGTGCAGGAGAACGGGTAGCTCGGTCCAGTCGGTGTCATCGGGAGTTGGTTGTCTGGTAGCGACACACCGAGGTTCAGCACCTGTGGATCATGACTGGGGTCCATTCAGCTCGCGGCTCTTCGCTCGAAGGGTTGTATTCGGGGACTTGATGGTGTTAGTGGTCAGCGCGTACCTGGAGCACTCCGCCAAGATGACGGGCACCAACGTTGAGCTGCTGAGTGATCTGCAGGTATTCCTCAACCCCCAATGCGAGCCGTTTGTCGTGGCAGCGGACTGGAACATGGAGCCGCAGCTGTTGGAGAGCTCCTGGTGGCCACGGTCTGTGGGGGTGCTGTGGCGGCGCCCAAGTTGCCTACCTGCTCGGTGACCTCGGGAAACGATCGAGTTTACGATTACTTCGTGATTTCGGCCTCCCTGGCGGCGCTGAGCCCGACGGCAGAAGTGCTTCGGCCAACGACTACGCAGCCCCACGCTCCAGTGCGGCTTACCTTCAGCAAGCTGGGGGCTCAAGCCAAAGTCTGGGTCTTGAGAGGCCCCAAGAGATTCGACCCGTCGACGGACATCTCGGAGGAGGACCAGCTGAAGGCGGAGGAAGCAGCCCAGGACATTGTCTGGCAGTCGCCCCTGCCAACTCCAGGCGAGAGGCCTGATGAGGCAGTGCGCGAGTTCTTCGTCAAGGCGGAGGACCATCTGATTGCTATGTTGGGTGTCACCGACGGCCCCAAGTACCGTGGCAGAGCGGACGGGCTCAAGCGAGTAGAGATCAGCCTCAGGGACCTCCAGCGGACGGAGACCTCCAGAAAGGTAAGCCCTTTGACTAGGCTGTGGCTCTCGCCCGGCAGGCTTGTCAAGCAACTCAGGGCAGCGGCATCGGTTCCAGAGCCAGCCAAGAGCCATGTGCTATACATGAAGCACCTGGAGCAGGCAATCGTAGCCCTGGCAGCGCAGTTCGACGGCTTGGGCAACTCGATGTTCAACGGCACCAAGATGGACACGATAGTCCACGAGGTCAGGCGCGGCTCCTTTGACGGGCTGCAGCTGATAAAGGCCATCGCCAGGGTCACTGACATGCACGTCAAGGGCGATGCGTCTGCAGCCAGGACCCGCTGGAAGGAGTTCGTTGACGAGTCGCTGGCTGGTGGAGGCCGTGGAGCTCATGCTATTAGCAAGAAGCCCCACGGTGAGGCGAAGCCGATCCTCGCGGACGGCAGCGGCGACTCGTCTCCGGTACCACTGGTGGGCCAAGCGGCATTGGATCAGATGCTGGTGGAGTGGAAGGCCCTGTGGAGCAGCGGGGATGCACAGCAGACCAGTCCTGCTGACTGGCCTACCACGTCGGAACTGCCCCCGATTACGGCGGACGAGGTGCTAGAATCGGCGAGGACGCTCGCGAAGAATACGGCGCTTGGATGGGATGGCTTCCACCCCAAACTGCTGTTGATGCTGGGAAGGCCGTTCGCGCAGCGCATGGCTGACGTGCTGACGCAATGGGAAAGGCGCCCGCAGCCGACGACGATGTTCACCACGCTCATTGTCTTCCTGGGCAAGCCTGGGGGCGGACACCGCCCCATCGGCTTGATGTGCTTTTGGCTCCGTGTGTCGGGCAGGATTCGCAGGCAGTGCTGTTTGCATTGGGAGCGAGCCCACCGCCTTCCTGAGATTTGGGGCAGCAGCTCGGACACCAGCTGCGATAGAGCAGCGTACTTACACAACTTGTACCTTGGCCTTGCTCGGAAGGTCGGCTTCGACGGAGTCTCGGTCTACTTCGACATTAGCAAGTTCTACGAGAGGATCGATCATGGGCTGCTTCTGAAGGCGGCCGAGCTAAATGGATTCTGCACAGGCTTGGTGCGTGCGCTCTGTGTGGCATACTCGGGACCGAGGAGAGCGACGGCTGACAGCGCCGTCAGCGAAGTGATCCATGCGAGGGGCACGGTCATCGCAGGCTGCTCTTGTGCGACAACGATGGCTAGGCTCATGCTGATGGACCTCCTTGTCAAGAGTCGAGCGAAGCTCCCCATAGGTCGGATCGTCAACGTGATCGACGACATCTCGGGCAATGGAATAGGATCCAGAGGAGTGCTGGTGACTCAGATGAACAGTTTCGCCCAGGGCGTCGTGGCGATGCTGAAGGACAAACGGCTCCCGATCAACTGGGGCAAAACGAAAGTGCTGGCCTCCTCAGTGGACCTCCAGCGCGAGCTGATGAAGCAAGAGGGGTGGCCGCTGGACAAGGTCGCCTTTGCTCAGGGACACCGTGACCTCGGTGGTGATGCGACTGCTGGTGGACACCGCATGGTGGCGACGCAGGTCAAGCGAGAGCTGGACGCACTCCGTCAAGCAGGACGACTGGCACGCACCTTCGGACCTGGCCTTCGGCAAGCTAGAGTGATGCGAGCAGGGCCGACGGCCAAGGCGCTCTGGGGCTCGGCCATAGCTGGAGTCCCACCTGGGCGCATGAGGGCGCTGAGGGTGGCAGCTGCGAAGTGCGCTGGTCGCTTGCCGCCTGGAGCGGCCCTCAGTTTCGCCCTGCAGTGCGCGCCCCGTGGCTGGCGGCAGGACCCGCTGGTTGTTGCAATGGGCATGGCAGTTCAGGCTTTCGTCAACGTGGTGTGGTCTGGTCAAGCCACAGCCTCAGCCATCCAAGCTTGCATCCAAGAGAGCCAGCAGGTGCTCAGCAAGCAACGGCCTTGGAGTTCGGTACGTCAGCCGATAGCGGCGCTCACGCTCACCCTGCAGAGGATAGGTTGGCGGCTCTCCTTCGACGGCACCAAGCTGCTAGACGAGGACAAGGGGGAGTTCGAGGTGCTGCATTTCTCGCCCGCGTTCCTGGCGGAGAAGGCCAGGGAGGCCACGAGGAAAGCGGCTGCGTTTGAGGAGGCTCGAGCTCGACCTGGATCGCTTTGGCCGTGGAAGTTGCCGCCCCAGTGGAGGCCAGTCAACGAGCTGCTCGGCAAGAAGGAGACGGAGACCTGGAATGGGCACCACAAGGGCTGCCTGCGCTGGCTGGTATCGCTCTCGCACTGGCCCCAGGACCGTCTGGCGAGGCACTCCTCCGACATCGACCCGATCTGCAAGCTCTGCCAGGCTGCGCGTGGCACGATGTTCCACAGGCGCCACGTCTGCCCAGCTTGGGAACCTTGGCGGCGTGACAGGATGCCGTCGGACCTGAAGCGTGCTGCTTGGTTGGTCCACGAGATGGGCCCGCCTTTCGATGAGCTGTTCTGCCAGGGCCTATTCGTGGACCCCTCCCTGCTGCTGCATCGCCCGCGCTGGCAGCCCCAATGGGAGCGGCTCTCTCATGGTTGGCATGAAGCTGTTGTGGTCGAAGACGGCGCCATGGTATTCACCGACGGCTCTTGCTTCCTCGGTGACTTTCCGCGCCTGCGCAGTGCGGGCTGGTCGGTCGTCGTGCTATCCAAGGAAGGTGCCATCTTAGCCGAGGCTTGGGGGGCGGTCCCTCCCAGGTTATGCCCATCGCAGACGGCACGAGCGGGAGTAGACTACGCAGCGGTGGTGGCGCTCACTGAGGTCATCGGCAACTACCAGCTGCTGATCGACTGCCAGGGCACAGTTGACTCGGCGCTCAACCTTGGCAGAGCTCAGGGCCCAACTTCGCCCTACGCCCACCTTTGGGCCAGAGTCGGGGATGCCGCCGAAGGTGTGAAGATCAAACACATTCCTGCACATCGGTCAGAAGCGGCAGTGGCCAGGGGAGAGCTGTCGGCTATCGAGCTGTTCGGCAACCGCCTAGCTGACAAGCGAGCGAAGGAAGGAGCCGCCCTCCACGCCCCCTCAGTCGACGACATCCTGCTCCTGGAAGGCTGCCTGGCCAGGGCACGTGATGCAGCCCGCTTTGCCGCAGAGATGGAGGTCTACATCTCAGATTCTGGTATGCGTGACTGCTGGCCTACGGAAGCACTGGATGACGTCAACCTCCAGCCGTACCTCTACCCGTGGAACCTGACGTGCGAGGATGAAGGCTACGGCTTGCTGGATATCTCCACAGCGCAGCGTGGCAGAAGGTCGGCAGCTGTGACAGCGGCAGCCTTCACCGCGGCGGCAGCGGCCAGCGCAGTAGCCACTGGTGGAGTTGCAGGCGCCGCGGGCGGCGCAGCGGGGCCTGTCCGCAAGCGCCCCGCGGCCGCGCAGAGGGCCTGCTCCGCCCCTGCCACCGCCATCGCTGCGGGGGTAGGCGAGGCTGGCACCACACGTGCAGAGGCTGCGAGCGAGGTCTTTGCGAGAGAGGTTCGGCGCAGAGCGGAGGCCAAGTCGTCCGCAGTGCCCTCGCTGAGCTTCCAGTTGGAGGAGGAACGCCCGTCCCCTGCTCCCGCGGCTGGAACCGAGCCATGGGTAGTGCACGGCCACAACCTGATGCAGACCAATGTGGTGAGCAAGCCGCACGAGGCCATCCTGGTGTGCACGCGCTGCTTCATGTACTGCCACCAGCCGAGGTACGCGCACAGGGGCTTGGCCAAGCCGTGTGGTGGTGGTGATCACAGATCAAGCCAAGGGTCGCGAGCTCAGGCCAGGACGGACTTCGGCAAGCTGCGTTTGCCAGGCAAGGAGAAGCCGCCGATCGCGATGCTCAAGACGCCGACTTGGGAGGAGATGCAGCGCTGGCGGAGGTCGCTCAAGATGGACGACTTCGGCGGGCCCATCCCCCAGGTGGACGAGCTCCTGGCGGCGGCGCGCGTGGTCGGCCCTGGCGCCCCGCCCAGGCCTGCGGCAGCACGGCGTGCAGCGGGCAGTGCAGCTTGTGCGGCTGGGCCTGGGGGCGGAGCAGCTGCGGCGTTGGCGAGCGCCTCGGCTTCCTCGGCCGCGGAGGCCGTGCAGGCAGCGGCGCGCGAGGGCGTTCAGGAGCTCTTCGTGCCCGCCCTGGAGGGCGTCCTCCGCGCGCACGGCTTCGCGTCGGCGGAGGACGCTCGCGCCCGCGGGCGAGAGGCAGCCCGGGCGCGCGGGGGGCGGGTCCGCACGCAGGTGCACGGCGCTGCGGCCCCGCGCGCGGCGAGGAGGCGGGGCCAGCGGTGGTGAGCGCCCCCTCCTCGGCCGCCGAGGGGCCTGCCGCCGCCCCGCGCCGTTCGCGCGGGCCAGCGGCTGCGCCCGTGAATTCGCGGCACGTCCACGCGGGTGCTCGCGCCCGCTTGAAGAGTTTTTAAAAAAATGCCCACGCCGCAAGCGCCAACTCGGCTCAGGCTGGCGCGCGGACTGCGAGTCCGCGGTTGGGGATGTCGGCCCCGCCCTGGCTTGCCTCCGGGGCGCCTGCGCGGCCGCGGCGCTCGGCAGCCGAGCGCCGCGCCCAGGCCGGGCGCGCGCAGGCGCGAGCAGCTCAGGCGTTGCTCCGCGCCTTCTGCGCCCTCCAGCACCGTGGGTGCCGCCCCGCGCGCGCGGGCGCGGCGCTGGCTGTGGCGCTTGGCTCGGCGGCGGCTTCTTGTGCTCCCGCTGCCCCGCCACCTCGCGCGGCTGCACCTCCGGAGTCCGCGCCAGGAGACGTTCGGAATGCCGATGGTGGTGCACATGACGGGGCTTCAGGCGCTGCGGCGGCCGCCGCGTCCGACTCGGCGACGGGCGGACAGGCGGCGGCGCCTTCGGCGACTGAGGTGCTCCCGAGGGTCTCACCCTCACCCGCTCGGCTGCGCGGCACAGGCTCTGCTTCGGCAGCGAAGGGGGCGGCGGCTGCTGAGATCCCGCTGCGCGGCTTGGCGCGCTCCTTGGATCCCGAGCCCAGGGGAAGCAAGCGGAAGGTCGAGCCGACGGCGACTTGGCGGCGGCACGCGCAGCACCCCCTTCGGCCTCGACCAGGAGCCAGCCTCAGGCCTCGCCAGAGTCGTTGGGCAGGCTCCAACTGGATTCCCGACGCAATCTTCCGAGGGCGCGCGCGAGGGCCAGATGCGGCTCGCCCTTCGGGACCTCGTTGAAGCTCTCAGCCTTCAGCGTGGCAACTGGCAGGCGCTGCGCCTCAGCGGCGCTTCCCTCAGGCTTCTGACAAGGATGAACGTGGCAGACGCCCTTCAGGCGGCGCTGCAACTGCTGGTGCTCAATGTGAGCGGCCCCCCCGCCGACCGCTGGATTGTGAACGCCGCCCGTTCCTTCGGCCTTGCGGCGGCTGCTGAGGCGCAGCGAATTGATCATCGCCGTGGAGTTCGTTTGGGTCCGAGGGGTCCCCGAGGAGCTCTTCGGATGTTGCCGAATGCATGCATGCGTTCGCTTTGGCGCTCGAAGAGTTAAACAATGCCCATACCGCATGAAGAAGAGGAGGGGGCGGTGAGGTGAAAGAAGTATAGGGAGCAGGAGGGGGAGGAGCTCCCAAACTGCCCTCCTGCAGCACTTCTGTGTTCCCGCCCTCCACATCCTCATTTCTTCATCGCTTGTCCTCATCCCCCTCCTTCCTCGTCGCCCTCTTCTTGCTCCTCCCCCTTCTTCCTCATCCTCCTCCTCCCTTGGTCCGCTCCCTCCTCTTGCCCCGCCCCCCCTCCCCCTCCACCACTGGCGACTTGGCCGGTGGATGAGCGCGACATCCCACGTCGTGATATTTTCGCTATGTGTCGACTAGATGTAAGAGTGACCTTTCGCCGGAGTGACCTTTGGCGCGGGCCCGTTGGGGCCCCCCAGTCGCCGAACGCGATGCGATAGCGGCGTCTTGCGCGCCTGCGTTTGGCCCCGTCACGGCCCCCAAAAAACCGCGCACCAAAGGTCACTCTTACCCAGCCGACCCTGGAGCCCGGAGGTCTTGACCTTCTCCCGCGTTGCCGGCCCCCGGGCCCGGCGAGCGCCCCCAGAGGCCGCAGGCGACGACAGGCCGCGTGTCGCGATTTCACCCGCGACGAGAGGAGGCCTGCAGCCTCCCGTGCACAGGCCTCCACCACTAGCCAGGGAGGCATGTGCATTCGGCGGCGAGCGAACGGGGGAAGTGAGAAGGAGAGGGCCTCCCCAAAAGGTTCGGAAGTCCCCGAAGACAGGCCAAAAAAACAACTTCTCAGAAGGCGCGAGGGTTTCTGTGAACTCCCGCCGCCTTCTGAGAAGGCCTTCTCCTCATTTCCCCCCCTCGCTCGCCGCCAGTGTACGCATCGCGGGGTCAGGACGGGCCTGGTCAGGATCGTGGAGGAAGTCCAGTCGGCGCCCCCCGGAGAGTGGTCAGGGCCGTGGCCGCGTCCCGTCGTCATCCCGGAATCGCAACCGCTTCCCCGGGGGCAGTGGTTTGCCCTGATCCATTGCTGGTGGTCCAACGGGCCCGATAAGTGAACCTCGAGGGCCGAAATCAAAGAGAAACCTCAAGTTTACCAAAAAACGTATCGTCGTTGATGTATACTTGCAGCCACGGCCAGGCGTGGTTTTTGCCCTCGATCCTTTAGTTTCTTAGTCATCGCCGGCAGGGGCCCGATGGCCCACCGCGCCCAGGAACGTGCGGATTCGCTGTTGGGGACATATTGCCAATCCATCGGCGATGTTGTCCAGCCTGCGCCATTCGTTCCCCCTCGGCCTTCACTCCTCCCTCCTACTTGCTCTCCTCGGCTCGCGATGGCTCTCGGCCGCTGGGAACACTGAGTTGTGGTCATCGCGTTTCCACCCCCGCGATCCCCCCCCCCCTAGCGTTCGCCCCTCAGCTGGTCCACGTGGGAACCACGCGTATATACTAAGGTATCTGGGCCAGTGCCCGTGCGGGTTCGCAGAAACGCCACAGACCAACGCATAGAGTATCATGTTCTGGCCAGTTGTCTGGGCGACATGTGTTGAAACAATTATACACGCTGCACTTGGCCGCCATTCTTGCCACGAAGTAGCGGACAGACATAGCATAGTATAGTGGCCATGTTTTTGGCTCCGACACCCCTGTTGAATTAGAGGTATCCTAACCAGAGGCCTCCTAGATGGAGTCCGAGTATATGGGGTCGGAAGATGACGCCGCATCGGCTATGCATCGGCGATGCATCGGCGACATCGGCGACGCATCGGCGACGTTGGCGTGGAGGACATCGGGTTACGCATCGAGCCGCATCGCCGATGCATCTGCGATGCGGCGCGAACCTCCGACCCCACCTACTCTGACCCAACCTCTGCCCCTATGGACCTCACCTTGGCGCCCCCCCCAACGCGTCGCCACCCCAGGAGCGACGCGCTCCGAGAACTCTGCTTGTATGAGCTCCGTGGCGGGCGAGTTCGGGCCGTAGCTTTCGGGAAACGATGTGCTAAAAGATGTCTGTACTATAGGTTCGGTTCGGACGGGCGCCTCCAAGAGAAGCACAGTCTAGTATGCCCTTATGCCCCCCCCTCTCACGTTCCGCCCCACTGGCTTCGCGAGCCCCCCGGCTTCTCGAGTCCCCCGAGTCTGGGGCTTCTTCGGGTGTCAATTTTCACCGCCCTGCCATCGGTTTCGCTCAGCATGTGCGCCTTGGACAGCCTTCTTGAGGGGCAACGGATTCCTTCTCCCCTGCCTGCCTGACGTGGAAAAAGTATCGTTTCTTGAGGAACCAGAAGGCACCGATACCGCTACTCCCCGGACCTCTCCAGGGTACGCTCTAACCAGAATTCCGAGGCGACTCCAGCCGTGCCGACGAGGGCCTCTTAGGAGGCACAAGAGAGGGAACGAAAACGAGGGAAGGGTAGAGTCAGGTTGGGCATGTCCTCCTACAGGCGGAGCTTGGGCGAACAATGAAAAATAGTCTCGCAAATATGTCAGAATGCACCCCCCCCCCAAAAAGAAAGAGAGTAGAAACATCGGCTCGGTGTATTGTCTTGGCAAGCTTTGAGCACTCTCCCCCTGTAGAGGGACGTGCCCCTCTTGAGAGGTGCGGCGTGGGCACCCCAGGCCTCCTCGGAGAGTCCCCCCCGCCCCGCCCCGGCAGAGGGTGCTGCTGCCGGGCCTTCGGCGCCGCCGCCGCCCTGGCGGGCCTCGGCGCGCTCGGGGCGGGCGCGCGGCTCGCCCTCGCCGCGCGCGCGGGCGGGTGGGGCTGGCGCGCGGGCCCCTTGCCGCCCACGCGCGGGGAGGTGCTGAGGCCTGGGGGGGGGGGGCTGCCAGCTGCACGCGGCCCCCGCCGCCAAGAAAAACAGGCACAGCGACGATCGCGTCGCAACAAGAAAGCAGGACGGGAGGTTTTGGGGCTCTTTGCGGCCCCGGGAGGCCCTCGCTGGGCCTCCGGGCCGTCAAAGAGCGGCTCGGGACGAAAAACCGGTCCTGGGGAAGGGGTCGGGATTCCAGGGACGCCGTCTTGGAAAAATCAGGACGTATCATGCCTGGGCACAGTAGGTTCGCGTTGTTTCGACTGGCGGCGATCCCGCCGCTGGCGTCCAACTTTGAACGCCGCTGGCGACCCAGAATCGGTCGATGCCGAACGAGTTGACGTTTCGGAAGCGCCCGATCGTTCAAGGTTGAACGATCCCCGTGGTGTCAGAAACCAACGCCAGGTTCGACACGACATGAACCTGCTGTACACACAGACACTCTCCAATGGATCGTTCCTGCGCCTCAGGGAAGAGTGGCGGTGCATAAGTCACCACTGGGAGCTAGCGGCTTTGAACACCGCCGCCCTCCCAGAAGGTGCATGCAAAGTTCGCAAACAGTTTTTTCTGTTTTTGAATGACACAAATCGCGTCGGTCGGGATGGTTTTAGTGGTTTTCGGCCTCTTTGAGCCCTCGCGAGGCCGACATCAGTGAACGACTCCGGACGAAGAGCCGGTCAGGGGAACGGGCCGGGGCCTCGCCTCCCAAATGGTCCCAAGCAGGACGGGATAGGTTTGGCCGTGTTGGGCGTCTCTCCCTTCCTTTTGGCACTGCTCGGACGTGTGCATGCTTTCTCGGCGAGGACCATCGAGGAGCATTGGGGCCATCTTGCGAAAAAAGACGCACGAAATCGACAAATGCACGGGGAGTGGACGTCCGAGCGATGGCGAGTGCCGGGCCCGGGACCGTCGAAAAATTATTCAGAATGAGAAACCAGTCCCGGGGAGAGGGTCGGGACTTCAGGGACCCCGCGCTTACAAAATCAGGGTTTCGCATGTCTGAGGAAGCAGATTCCGATGCTGCTGCGCGCCCTCCGTAGGAGAAGATGCATGTGCCAGCGCGAATCGTGACGTGACCAGGGTGGCAGAGGGGCGGGGGCGGGGCCAGTTGCAGGCGTTATCACGAATACTCAAAACATCGGCTCAAAACATCGTAACTGAGCATAGATTGTCGGAGATCCGCGCGGATTTCTTGGATCGGCGCTGGGCCCCCCCCCTCTTTGGAGCGCGGAGCACGCCAGAGGCGGCGCCGGAGGCGCCGCCAGGGGCGCCCCAGTGCCGATCCAAGAAATCCGCGCGGAGCTCCGAAAAACTGAGTTATTGCAGTTTGTTGTTCTTTTTGTCCTGGGAAGCTCTCGTCGCCACAGCTGGATTGTCCTCGAAATCCTGGTCATGACGAGGTCCGTGGAGTAGTGGTATCGGTATCTTCGTCTTTTCCCAGGGATGCCAGGTGCACGGCAGACTCCAGACCTCCTCTGCGTCTCCCGAAGGACAAAAATATCATGGTTGGATATCTTGATTCCGCGCTTTTGGCTCCTGGGGGGCTGTCGCAGGGCCTTGGGGCCTTCAAAAACCGGACTCGGATGAAAACCTGGCCCCCAGGCGGGCAGGGGTCCAGGGCTTCGGGGCTCACGTTGTAAAGAAACACGACGTCGGAGATTCGGGGTAGGCTCGCGCCACGTTGACGCGGCGGCGACCCCAGCGCGAGGGTCCAAGGTTGAGCGCCGCCAGTTGCCTGGAGTCGGCCGGCATCCAACGGTCTGCGCCATCGGAGAGCCGCGATCGTCCATGGTGAAACGGTCCGCGGTGTCAGAAGCCAACGCCGACAACATCCGCGATAGGATTCAGGAACCCGCCGTACGTCGGCACCAAAGCCGTCCAGGCTAAGGCAGGGCTCGGCGATCATGTCGTCATATGTAGTGTCTAAAGCTCTTTCCTCCTCCTCCTCCTCCTCCTCTTTCTCCTCCTGCTCATCCTGCTCATCCTCCTCCTCTTGCTCCTGCTCCTGCTCCTGCTCCTCCGCCTCCTCCTCTCGCCTCCTCCTCCTCCTCCTCCTCCCGCCTCCTCGTGCCCCTCTCGAGGGAGAACAACTGCATAAACATAACGTTACGCTCCGCACAGATTTCTTGGATCCACGTTGGGCCCCCCTGGCGGCGCCTTCGGCGCCGCCCCTGGCGCGCTCCGGGTCCAGCGCAGATCCAAGAAATCCGCAGGAACCGTCTTGCTCCTATTTTTGTTTACAGTCATCTGATTATGCCTTGCCGTTCTTTTCCTCGTATTTTGCTAGCCCGTGTTCCGTGTTCCTTCTCTCGTGCGCGGGAATCCGCTTGTGCCGTTGTCTCTTCTTCTGTTCTCGTGCCCCTCGTGCGGGCTGAGCCCTGGTGCGCGGCGTGCCGGAGGGTTCCAAAGGGGGTTTTGAGGGAGGGGTTCATGTCCAGTCGGTGGTGGACAGACCTCCTACCCTGGCACGTTGATTAGTGAATTGGCCGTTTTCGGCTCGCGAGAGGGCGTCGCGGCCGTCATTTTTGCGGGTCCAGGTCCGTCGGTTTCGGTCCCAGGCCGCTTTCATTAAGGGGAGGTGTACTAAAGGGAGGTTTGTCCACCGCCGAAGGAGCGGCCCCTCTGGGGCTTCGCACCCCCTGTTTTGACGAGGTTCCGAAGCCCCTGGGGGGCTCTCTGGAAAACCCCCTCCCCCCAAATCCGCTTTGGAGCCCTCCTGGCGTGGGCCTGGCCGACGTCAGCGTCGGCGTGCAGCTGGCATGCTCCCGCGAGGGTCACCAGCGGCTCGGGGGAGACGATCGCTGGTGCGCCGTCGCCGGCTCGGCTGCGCCCCCCCCCCCCCCCTCCTCGCGGGGGTCGACCAGGGCGCTGATGTTGGCAACCTCGTGGATCGGTTCGATTCGGCTGCAATCGGGTATGACCAGGACCCCAGGTAAGGGGACCCAGTTAGTGGTAGGGCCCCAAAGCCTTTGAAGTGGCCAGAATCACTAAACCAGGTTTGCCATAGTTGGTTTTTTCGGGTGATAGCAGTTCCGGTTAGTGGAAATGGGACGGAGTGGCTTCCCGGTACAGATCACTAAACCAGGTTCCCTTAAACCCAGTTCTGCCAACGCCTGATGCAAGAGCATCCGAGACCCCCTCGAGTCATGAAAAAGTCGCCACGGGAGGTTTGGCACAATTTTCGGCCTTCCTCGCGACCGTGAACAAAAATTGGAAGACCGGTCCTGGGGAATGGGTCGAGACCTTTGAGGGCCGACTTTATGAAAAAAACATGACGTCGGGGGCTTGGGATGGCCGCACATTGGAAGTGTCTCAGCTTTGGTACGGCTGCTTTCTTGGGATGCCTTGGTTTATCCTTCTTCTCCCAAAGCATATCGCGGATCGTCTCTTTTCGGTCCAGGGCCCACCAATGGCCGGTCACGGCTTCAGATCTGCGCCGAAGCGCCGTGTTGGGCTGTCGGCTGGACCGTTTTCACATCACGGCGCCTTCAAGCGGAGACCGAGCGAAAACGCAACACGCTATTTTGGTCGGCCTTTGCCCTCCTCTCAGGGCGCCAACTTGAGGGGAGAACAGGCTCAGGGGGGAGACATCGACCCCCAATCGCCCAATCATCGCCGATTGGGGCCCGATAGCCCACCCCGCCCAGCAACCTGCGAATCCGCTGCCGAGGGCACATCGCCGATCTGTCGGGGATGTACCGCAGATGCCAGCTCGATGTTTCTCAGTCGGGCATGTCCCTCTACAGGAGGAATATTCCAAAATAGTAAAAAATAGTATGTGGTCGATTTTGTTAAAACTATTTTTGACTGTTATTAAACATGTTCTGCTATTTGTTATTTCTCGTCCAAAATCCGCCTGTAGGAGGACACGCCCGACCTAATGTTTCCCCTCTTCTGCCGGCCCCCCCTAACGTTCCCCATCTTTCCTTCCCCCCTCTTGTGCCCTGGGCGGATCGCGGCGCCTCTCTGAAAACATTTCTCTGACGTCCTGGAGGAAGTTGCTGCATTCCGGGTGCCTGGAGTTTTTCCCCCAATGGCACCCCGCGCGAGGGTTTTCAGGGTTGGGTTTCTTGCGAGGGTTTCTTGCAGCCGCGTCCGCGCTGCATGCTCCTGACTGCTGAACTCCCTGCTCAGAGTCGTCTCGAGGCGAACGCTGACCTGCTCGGCGTCGTTGACAGGAGCACCTCGCGCCGATGGTTGCTGAGGGCCACAGTGTCGATGGTTGTCCAGGTGAGTCCCTCGAGTGTGGAATCTTGCAAACCGCAGTTTTTGCACTTCACACGCTCTTCTCAGAGATCATGGCGCCAACATCGCAGAGCGGATTTCGTTCGGAAAACATTGGAATGGGCCCCGATTGTCCTGGAGAAGTTCGTTCCGGATTTCGAAGTGAATTTCGTGCAGATCTTTGTTGGCCAGGAATGAGGACTACAACGAATCCACGTGAAATTGGCAGAAATCCGCGCAAAAATTCGCTGCAGCACTGCTGCAAAGTCGGTGCAGTGACAGTGACATGGGTGTCTTCTATTTCCAGGTTGGCTGGGTGTCCCCCTTCCGCGTGCCGCTCGCAACGCAGTTCGACCCTCCGTCCTCAGGGCAGCATGCATTGAGTAGAATTGTTCCCGTGCATCTTCTATCGTGATTGGTCTCACATCGTTGTCGGAGGAAGAGTGGGACACCTCGACGGGACCTCCCCCTGGTTTTGTCGGGTCGAGATCGCAGCAGACCTTCACCGAGGCAGTGGGAGTGGGGGGGGGATGTCTGATCCGGTCCCCTTCTCGCTGTTCATTTGTTTCTGTCCCCCCATCTTTGTCACGCCACTTCCATGCTTCGAGGATGGGCCGCTTCCTGTCACTCGAGAATTGCATTCATTGTCCACGCCAGCCACCCGAAACACACACTCCAGCCAGGCATCTGGAACTCATTCGTGCGCTGTTGGGGTGACACGGAGAGACCGTCTGTTGGGTGGCACGCACCGACCGTCTGTCCACCGAGGTA